CCTGGCAACGACCTGCTCCTTGCAGAAATCCATTGTGATCCTCTCTTGGCAAGCTTTCCCACCGCATGGCCAAGGGTAATCATGAAGTACTATGGACATCTATAGGTGCCTGCAAACCGCTCCAGAGATTGTGCAGCCTGATGTTGCAACCCGAGTAAGGTGTCTTTTTTAGGGGACATATCCAGTAACAGGCAATCGACTGCTGCAGTGGACTTGCAGCTCGCTTTCCATGCGTTGGAGGATATTGAGACTCAAATGTGCTCTCCAAGTGAAGGTTGGGTCAAAACATTGATCGGTTAGTCACCAGAGTGGCCGCACCCTGCGATGTACTGGCTCTCTTGGAGTTAAAAAAATGCCATCACCGTCTTACTTTCAATCGCGGACAGTTGCGTGAGGTGTGGAGTGCCGACGCTCCTCAGAGTAAGTTGGACTGTTGGAGACCCTTCAGGCGCTTCATGATGCTGCTTGCAACGACACGTATGTCTTGCAAGGAGGACGTGTGATGTTGTCCAGGCCGAATAGAAGTCATATGTAGATATGTTTTAGTTTTTCCGGATGTTGGGCCCCCAGCAGTTGACTGCTGCAGTGGACTTGCTCCTTCTTTTTCACGCATTAGAGAATGGCTGCTGGCAACTTAGACCGGATTGAGTTCAGCATTTGCCTGGCAACGACCTGCTCCTTGCAGAAATCCACTGTGATCCTCTCTTGGCAAGCTTTCCCACCGCATGGCCAAGGGTAATCATGAAGTACTATGGACATCTATAGGTGCCTGCAAACCGCTCCAGAGATTGCACAGCTTGATGTTGCAACCCGAGTAAGGTGTTTTTTAAGGGACATATCCAGTAACAGGCAATCGACCGCTGCAGTGGACTCGCAGCTTGCTTTCCATGCGTTGGAGGATATTGAGACGCAAATGTGCTCTCCAAGTGAAGGTTGGGTCAAAATCATCGATAGGTTAGTCACCAGAGTGGCCGCACCCTGCGATGGACTGGCTCTCTTGGAGTTTAAAACATGCCATCACCGTCTTACTTTCAATCGCGGACAGTCGCGTGAGGTGTGCAGTACAAAGTCTTCTCAGAGCAAGCTTGATTTGGAATTCTTGGTGTGCCCTCTTCATTGGTTCGTTTGTATTTTCAACAGCTGGCACTTTCTTGACTCTTGAAAGGTGATTGAGAAGTGTTGGAACCAATTGAAGATTTGTCCACTTTGGATGCCAGTACCATCATTCTGCTTGCTCCAAACGGTTCTGAACTGCAATCGAGTTTCAATGTGCAACACCTATGTCAGAAATAGCTTGCTGCAGTATTGCGTGAAGGTAGGCAAGGATTTGCACCGTGACTTGTCTTTCAGTTTGGAAGCGGCCTGACACATACAGACACGCGAGGATGAGGATGCCGTGATTGCAAATTTTTGTGCTGGCAACAGAGATCCTTTGTAATGCTGCGTGCAATGCATTGAATATGTCCCAAAGCATTCAAATGTCATATGTGGATGTGAGAAGTAGATGTGGCCGAGCTACAGCCAACCGCAGGTTGCCAGCAATTCAAGCTTTCGTTGCGAGTCTTTAAGCATGACGTGATATTTTACGATTGCAAGTGTTGTAGGCATTGTAGCGTGTTTTAGGCGTGTTTTAGGGGAAACATCCTCTCTCACAAACACTTGACTGATGAAGTGGACTCACCTCTTTTTTGGAAAATGCTGAGACTGAATTGGGTTCTCCCAAAATGAAGCTTGGGTGGAAAAACATGGATAAGTTAGTCACCAGAGCGCCACAAAAAAAGCGGCATGGGTGCTCCCTTGGAGTTTAAAGAATGCCATCACTGTCTTACTTTCCAGAGGCCAAAGGTCGCATGATGCGTGGAGTTCCAAAGCTTCTCAGAGTAAGCTTCTCAGAGTAAGTTGGACTGTTGGAGACCCTTCAAGCGCTTCATGATGCTGCTTGCAACGACACGTATGTCTTGCAAGGAGGACGTGTGATGTTGTCCAGGCCGAATAGAAGTCATATGTAGATATGTTTTAGTCCGGGCCTCGACATTGGGCTTCTACAACCTGAAGTCATGGTGCCATCCGTTGGAGCTTGTCCGTCCGTGGGCACTTTTCGGCTTGCAGCCTCAAATTCCGCTAGAAAAACTGGGGCAAGACATGTTGGGCCTTCAGCACCACAGGTGGCCATCGCTGAGTGTTGTGCTAGAGGGAGATGAGAGGAGCTGCAATGTTTGGACAATGTTTGGACAGCTCCTCAAGCTGCCATTAATACCTATTTTGCTGGCCACACTGTTTTTCGCTGTTGTTGGCTCAACAAGTTTGCACATTGCAGAGAGGTGATTACAGGGACATGTTTTTCCTGCCCGCCCACTGCCAAGTGAAATCTGGAGGGAAGACTTGAGGATCACAGCTGGAGAAGGGATACGCAGAATCATGAGTGATCCATGAGGCAACATGGGTTGCAGCAGACATGCTTCTTCAATTTCGGTTCACTTCGACGTGTAGACAGCTCCTCAAGCTGCCAATAACAGCTGTGTTGCTGACGATTCTGGTTTTGGCTCTGCAAATTTGCACGATTGTTGTAAGAGGACATTTTGCTTGTCCGCTGCTGCTGCCACTTCAAAGCTGGAGGGAAGACTTGAGTATCACGGCTCGTGGGAATACGCCGCAATATGTCTTGGTTGGGTAGACATTGCGCCTCCCGCAATCGACTGCTGCAGTGCTTTCCGCTGTCCTTCCATGTCTTGGAAAGTGCCAATGTTGAGACTGCACTGCATGCACGCAAAACAGACACCGCCGGAACTCTGCAGCGGTCATTCGTGCTTTTGTGTTCGGAAGCTGTCCCGTTCCCTGATGAATTCCTCTCAAGCAGCATGCAGAAGATGAAGCGCAAAGGTAGGAGGTACAGTTCGAGTGTCGGGTGCTTGCAAAGCAACCACGGCTGGAAGCTTGCAGATGTAATATGTGCTTTTGTGTTCGCCCCATTCCGGGATGGGTGCAACATTCAAGCAGCATGCAGAAGTTGAAGCCCTGAAGTGCAGTAAGAGATGCACTTCAAGTTTCTGTACCTCATCCTCTCCATCCTTTTCAGGCATGCTGAGACTGGGGGCTCGCAAAAAACAACCACGGCTGGTTGTCTTGCAGAAGTCACTTGTGATCTTGCGTTGTCAATCTATCCGGGAATGCTTCATTCCATGTCCTCCAACTAGCCGTCGGTTTGACAGAACATGCTCCAGTGTAGTAAAGACTACAACCATGCAACAAGTTTTATTACCGTAGCTGGGGAAGCCCAACTTTCTAATCAGGGGGATTCGGCTTGCCTGAAGGTTGATCACTGTTTCGGTGAAACGCCTCTTCTGAACGAGGCTCGGCGCACAGACGGTCACAACGTGGTCTTGACGGTCTGTCACGTAAGTTCTTTGCCATTTAAAGTTATGACGGCGGCTTGCTGGCCGAACTAGAATCATTTAGACTTCCCTGGCAAGGAGCGACCCGTCAACAAGCAAACGAGAATCAAGCCACACACAAAGCAGCCAAATAGCCAGTAGAGTGCTGTTCTGGTGGCGGAAACATGGAAAACCGAACCCAAACTTCCTCTCTTGAGAACCTGAGAAGAGGACTTCAGGCACGAAAAAATCAGCTGTGGAATCATCTCAACACGCTCCGTGCCCTTCGCCGAGTCGAGGAGTCGATGGCGGCGTTGCGACCGAGTGGCGTGAGACGGTGATGGGATGAGTCACAAGGCGAAACGAAGACAGGCCAAGGTTCTAAAGCCTTGGTAGCCCCCCCATCGCTCTCCAATTCGGTCCTGGTACATTTGATATGTTCTACATGACATAATTAGGAGATCAAATCAGAAGAGGTTTTCTGGGAGAACTCACCACATCATGCCCCAAAAAGCACCTTGCTTTGTCAAGGCGTGATGGACAAGCAGGTCCCGGCATCGCGTCGCTGAGATCTTGACATGGTAAAAGAGGGTGTCTGTTCCCAACAAATGTTGTACTGCTATAGCCTCTGGGCCCCACATAAGAATCTGGGAACTGACAGCCTCTTCTGCTATAGCTACCATAAGAATCTGGGCCCCACATTTTGAGTGTGATGAACGGACTTCCTGCGGGACGTCCGACCCTCTGCCGAGGCTTGGATTCTTAGGGTACAAATTAAGACTTTTGTAAGTCGATGATTCCCCGGATGACGGAAGTCCCGTTGATGGATTAAGCCTGTTTGGCAGTTCGTAGTTCGCTTCCATGGCCCAGACCAACGCCCTTTTGTGTGCCAGAGGATGTGCAAGAAACGAAGGTTACCGAAAAGCACTGCTTAGGGGTAACCAAGAAGCACAATATTGATATATGTCATATGTTGGTGCAGCTGCCACCTAGGAGTGGGACCTGAAAACTGCGAAAGGACACACCAGAAATGGGTTCCTGGTAGCTGAGCCCTGTAAAGCTTTCAGCAAGCTTAAGCAAACTTCACTAAGCCTCAATGACCATCTAATTTTGGAATGTTCGGGTGTTTTCCCGAAACCCAAATTTTGAAAGCAGCAGGCGTTCAATCCAGTCGCTGTGAATTTTGGAAACCTTGGAATCTTAGCAACCCCTAGTCTATTAGTACCAGCACTAGTGAGACATTCCAGGACATTTGTGACTGAAGTCAGAAACCCGTCCATCCCTTGTGAAGTCCTGAGTCTTCCCAAGTCAAGCTCGCATGTGGTTCACACGATTATCCCCAAACCCTCCGTGTTCTTTGGTCATGACTTGAAGGGGTAATTTAAGATAAGATCGCAATTAGCAGTAGGGCCGCCGGAATTTGGACGACTCTTGAGGGTTTGAAGGTAGGTTTAAGGTAGGTTTAAATTGATCGCTCCACAACTTTGAGCCGCAAAACCTACAATCATATGGTCATCATCTTTGATTTGCCGGTCTCTGAAGATCATTGTCAAAGTCTGAGCTGCAGAGCCAACTATGGCTTTCGAAGCAGTCGCTGATGTTTCAGGAATTGGGCTAAAACAGGCAAACACAATAGAACTCCTCAAAAACAAACACCATGTCGCCATGTCGCTGCAGTTTTTGGATATGTTCAGCTATGTTGAGAGTGTGGCCTGGGCCTGAAAGCGCGATAGGCACCCCTCAAAAGCGATATGATATAACTTATAATTTTGGCATATCCTCTTCGTAAACTAAGATGTGTTGGCAGGTCCGCGGCTGTGCTTGGCTTTGCAGTTCCGCTCTCAAGTTCGGTTGGCTTGCCACATTGGCTCCCACTTTGACTAAGAAGGTAGCTGTGTCTTCGACGGCATGGGACAAATCAGCTGGAGTTTTGATCAGGATTTGGACGTCGAGGCGGCAAAACATATGGAGGCAACCAAGGTTCAGGTTCCCGAAAAGCACCGCTTGAGAGGCTGCCCCATGAAGCACAAGATTGGTATATGTCAATGTTGGTGCAGCTACCACATGAGTGTTAGATCCAAAAACTCTGAAGGGACACCAAAAAAGGGTTCCTGGTGGCTGATAAGCTTTAGTAGGGTTGGTATGGCCTGGAAAACGTTCAGCAAGCCCTCAGAAAGCTTAAAAGAAACCTCTCTAAGCCTGAATGGCCACCTAATTTTGGACTCTTCTGGTGTTTCCACGAAGCCCCAATTTTGAAAGTCACAGTCACTTCAAACCTCAGCTCCGGAACGCAACTTATGTCAGAGTGGAGGGCTAAGATGCAAATTGATGAGCTTAAGAAGTAAATTCAGCTAGAACCAAAGGACATTTTTCAGGTGAAAGAGCTGGGCTCAGCTCAGCTGAGGGAAGCTCTGAAGAGACAGAAGGAGTTGTTCTCGTTGAGAATGCGAGAACACCTGAGATGATCCCAATTGCCGTCAGATCAGAGCAACAAGGTGAGATGAGTCGAATGGCACCTCTTCATGCAGGTCGAATCTTTGCGATTCCACCATAGCTGCCATATCCCCACCCTTTTGGATCCGATTCCCACCATCAAAAACACGTTTTGCAGATTCCCTACAAATCCAGTCGCACCTCAAAAGGTGCGACTGGACCCTCCTGGCACCTACAGTGTCGAACACATCACCTTCAGGTTCGGTACGGATAGGGATTGATGGCCAGATGAACGTGTCTCCATCCCACGATTCAGGGTGATGCCTTCGAAACCAACCACCGGTCCCTTCACTTTGGCCCTTCGCCGGTCTCACCTGCCAGCGGTCTCGACGCGTCTCGTGCTTCTGTGCGCGACTCGCGGCAGTCACCGATGCAGTGGACCGAGTTGGAGAAAGAAGAGTCTTTGCCACGCAGCTCAAACTGGATCAAGAGACTTGGAGGCTGACGTGAACCATATGTGCGCTGGGCAGAGTCATGACTCACAAGGCATTCGCCCAGCATCTGACAACCTCGATCCTGATTTCACCAAACTTGGATTCTGCAAGTGATAAGTGCTGGCAACTAACATAATTACATGCTGAAATGTGAATTGGAATTTGCAGCTTATGCTTTACACCCATTGATAAAGCTTGCAGTGATGGACGTGAAGTCTCAACTTAAGTTTGTAAGACATCCAGATTCGTCAGCCGTTGATTCGTCCGAGGTGCTGAGTGCTGAGTGATGGCATCGGAGAAAATCCGACGGGTCGTTGACGAGTCGTCGAAGCGATGCGGAGATGGTTCGATGAGAAATAGGCATTTTTGAACCTGTTGAAATCAGCAGTTGAAGGTGTTTGCAATTGTTGTGTACTTTTGCTAAAGATGCCAGTCAACGAGAGGCAGGGAACTGACATTGACCACGGTTGTAGAACAGTGTTGCAAAGGAAAAACACACAGTTTACATCCACTCTTCAACAATCTGTTGCCTGAAGCATGCCACTTACCTACAATGGTTTAGAAGGCTGCTTATTTCGCGCTCTTGACCAAAGTGGCACTCCTACATCACATGGACCAGCGGTGGAAATGCAGGATTGCCTGGGTGTTTGGACAGCACGAGCGCAAGGTCAATCCGCGCATCCCATCACTGCAGACCTTTTAATTCGGGTAATCGTGTTCCAAAGGAAAACACAAGTTTACATGCGCCCTTCGAGGATTGGTTGCCAACATGCCACTTGCCGAGGTTTGCATAGGATGTATACGAGGGCTGCTTGTTTTGCCTTCTTGACCAACAAGAGGCACTGCTGCCGACCCGGTGTTGACCAACAGAGCTAGGGTAGTTGTGTTCCAAAGGAAAACACAAGTTTACGCGCGCCCTTCGAGGATTGGTTGCCAAGATGCCACTTGCCGAGGTTTGTATAGAAGGGCTGCTTGTTTTGCCTTCTTGACAAAAAAGAGCCACTCTTATCGACCCAATGTTATACAGTGGAAATGCCAGATTGCATACATTGGTGTTTGGACGATCCGAAATTCCCGCCCGTTTGTCAGATCTTGCCTTTTTTCGGACTGAGCATGAATCAACCGGAGGAACGCACAAAACAATTTATTGCTGGATATTCAAACGACACCATTTTTGGCAGGATGCATTTTCTAGTGAAAAGACACCGTCAT